AGATTCATTCTTAGCATATAAAAAGTTGGGCTTTGCTGAGAAATTGCCACTGCGTATAAAAACATCAATAATCTAGCACAAAGACTGTCTTTAAGGCACTCTTTGATCCCCCCCTTCTCCGCCAATCTGTCTCTCCTGTCATCTCTCTTTTTCTGCCCTCAACTTCATCCTTTCATCTCGCTCGCTCTCCCTCCTTCCTTCTCTCCTTGCAGGATAAAATGCATCAGAGGTGCCATCCATTTACCGCCCCTCTCAGACACAGGAAGTCAGCTCTCTCCAGACAGGAAGGGGCCTATAAAACACTGACGTACAGGAAATACAGTCGGACAATTGATCTTCTACTGTAAGCCTGAAAATGGGCAATGAGCTTTAGCACGGCTTCACGCAGCAAACAAGATGACTGATATTTGGTAAACACACATCTTTTAAATCAACTTTAAATGGACCAGAGAGCTTTATCAAAATGGTCCCTGAGACAAAGTGTTTTTATGAGGGGAAGCTTGATACTGTGGAATTAAAGCAGAGTGTGATGCAACTGTAAAGATTTAAACTCAGCTACTGACAATTTGTATTAAAGAAAACTGTGACAATGATCACGTACACTGGACACAAGTTGTTCAAATATGACTGGCAGCAGTTTTCAAAATACTGCTAACTGAACACAGAAAGACATTTTAGGCTCAATGGAAAAATGGAAGAACCTTATTTTCCCACTGTTTTCATATGTGCCAACAAACACACAGTCTACGCTCTTCTTTTTCTTTTTAGCAATTGAGAAATTAGTTCCATTACCTAGAATTATATCCAAAATCAGAAACCGCTTAGAGTAGATATATCATTAGTTTAATGAGTTTCTGTAGGGTTCACCACAGTTTAAATCTAAGGCCTATTTAATACCATATACAAGACTATTTAATATCTGTTCCATGGTGACACCAACCAAGGAAGCCTGAAAGGTATCAATGGAAAGCAGTAGGAATGATAAGGCCTAAAGGTATTTACCAAGTTCAGGAATTAACTGACTTTTCTAGCACATTTTTGTCTGTGCTTTCCAACAGTAAATAAAAATATTTACTAATACTATTATTAATAAATTATTAAATATCACCTGGACCAGCGAGATTTATTTAAGGCCCACATATACATTTTACATAGCAGTGCTGGAAATTTGGACAGTTTGGCCTTTTTTTTTTTTTGATTTTTTTTTTTTTTAAATACATGTTAGATTTGTCTAGGTGTTAAATGTTCAGTGTCCATAATAATGTTAATGGTTAAAACAAAAAAGATATTGAGGGGGGGGGCACTCTTGAAGCAACTGAAATCATGGTTTTGGTAGGGGTTCACTTCCTCTGCAAAATACAGTTTTTGTTATGATATGTTCATAGCCTTTAACTCCTTCTCACCCTCATTAAAAATATATGGCCCCTTAAGCCCCGAGGCTGCACCACCTCATCATCTTCATTTTTTTATTTATCCCTTTAATTCAAAATTGGAGCACATAGTTATTCAAGATAACCACAGTTAAGAACAACAGGTCAATTCTACACCTACACCCAAAAAAAACTAAACTAAATGGGGGTTCCCATGATAATTTAAACTGGCCACCATCATATTAGTCTGGATAAACTGAGCAGTGTAGGCGCCCAAGTCTGTGCAAAGTGAAACAATATATTGGCTGCCTGCATTTTAGGCAATCCGTTTGGCTTTATGCTGAGTGTGCTTCTTCCCAGCAAAAGACAGCATCAGCCTGACTCTTAGGGCATTCTAGCCTCTGTAAGAGATCATTTCAGGGGAA